ACCAGCCAACATATGTGTTAGTGATGATGCATGAGCCCCCAAAGGTTTGGTGGTTCTATTCAACTAAGCACTTTGATTTCATATACTTCACTGAGCTTCTTGGACCTGCAAAAATTTGGGTGGAAGCCTCAGGTGCGTCTGGTACACTCTATTTCTGGTCAGGCTGAAAATACTCAAACAGAAAAGCTGTTCCTCATGATTAGTTTATCACTTATGTTTCTGGTTCTGGCTAAAACTACAACAAAATGCAGAGGCAATAGTAAAAATAAACCAAAAAGTTAACTGAACTTTTATGAATCTTCAAAAAAAGCATGTGTGTGTTCAGGATTGGGTTGGTTTGGGTTGAAGTTGGGTCAGTACCTGGTTTATTTGAATAGGTTTCCTTATCCCCAGTATGTATCTTCCTTTTTTGCAAATTCAGGCAGGTATTTTTAATGAATATTATACATTATCAGCTTTCTGAAATTTCACTTATACTGTCATATATTTTGCTCTGTAAGGAAAATGTCAGCTTTTCCAGAGAGGCGGGCATCTCCTCAGCAGTTGAGATGGGGAGTGAAGGAGATCTTTCAATTAGCATGCTGGCTGGTGAAATCATCCCCAGCTTTTGGCTATAATAAAGGTTAGTTATATAAATCAGGTTCGTGTTCTACTCCTTTCTGTTCATTTGCATAGCATCCAATGGGGGTGTTAGAGGTGGTGTCAATCAGCTGGGATGAAAGAGACGTCTGGAAGCTAAAGCTCTTTCTTTGTAGCTACAGTAGACTTCCAATAATCTGGTACCTTTGGGACCCAGGGGGTGCCGGATTATCGGATATGCCGGAGTATCAGGAGGGGCGGCGCTGCAGGACCAACCCGGCAGCACCCCAGCTGCTCTGCCCCATGGCTTCCCCAAGTCCGCCGCTGCTGAAACTGATCAGCGGTGGACTTGGGGAAGTGGCACGGAGCAGCTCCAATTGTCCAGCTGGTCAGAGCAATTCCGGGTTCCAGTTGGTGCTGGACTATTGGGAGTGCCGGACCACTGGATGCTGGACAATTGGTGACCCCGCCCCCAAGCCGGCACCAGTGTGGGTCCGGGCAGACCCGTCACAGGGGTATAATCCCCTTCTCCTCTCCTTCCCTTCCCTTTCCCGGCTTTTGAGCGTGCGTGGGGCTCACAGGAGCTCCAATTGTCCAGCTGGCTGGAGCACTTCCGGGTTCCAGTTGGTGCTGGACTATCAGGAGTGCCAGACTACTGGATGCTGGATAATTGGAGTTTTACTGTATCATGGGTAACAGGAAACAACAACATTGGCTTGATTCTAGTTTTAATCAGACATAACTACATTGAAATAAATGAAGTGATACCATCAGTGGAATTCAGCTTTCCCCTGGAGAAACTTTCTTCTTAGGAGGAAAAAGGGACATAGTCTCCATGTTCATATACAAATAGACTTGGTCCCCACAGACTCCAATGGGAATCCTAACTCTCCCCTGGAGGAACTTCTTCTTTTGGGCTGAGAAATGAATGTTTTTCCTTCTCTGGGCATCTCACTCTGACTGTAACCAGAAAGAGATGTGGGTCTGAGCAAAATGCCTGACCTTCTTGGCTCTGCAGTGAAAAGAAGGGCAACGGGAATGTCTAACACCAGATAATTACTTGGTACTGTACCATGTGGCTCAGAAGGAACTAAGTCTTTCAGCCTGCACAGAACAGGTATATATTTGAGCTGGATGACTGGAGTTCCTGCAGAGACAAAGGCCAATTGTTCCCCCTACAGGAGGAACCCCACTCTATTTGCGGACAGCATATGTTTGTGGGATACAACTGTAAGATACTGAACTAATGCTGTACTGTTGATATGGGCATCCTAACCAGCTTAAATAGTCATAGTGTGAACCGTGCGGAGCTTGTATGGCTTGGGATGGGCTTTGTTTAGGGCAGGCATGTGTTACTGAAGTGTGGAGGGTAGAGTCTGCACAGACTCCAATAGCACAAGAGGCTTATGGTTGTGCAGCCCTGTCTCATAAGATATCCTCTGCTGCCACCTTATGGCCATTTCATGGCACTACTAAGGCATTTTAGATCTTACCCACAAAAGCTCACGATTCTGTATATTTTGGTTAGTCTCTAAAATCAACGAATGGTCCTGTGGCAACTTAAAGTTACAGACTAACACAGCTACTCCTCTGATACATATTCAGAGCTCTGCATGAATACAGGGCATGATCCTGCACTACACACTCAGGCAAATCCTCATTATCATCCACTAAAATATACACAGTGGAAAAGGCCTAAGTGTTTAGTGGGGAGGGATAATGGACAGTGGACATGATATGCACAGACAGATTAATGAATTAACACCAACTCTGAAATTATACTCTAGAGACATGTGGGATTTATCTCAGTATTAGTCAAATAGAGCTGGCATGAGGTAGAAACAGATGAAGTAATTGCTTAGTGCCCTGACTGGCTCCGGGGCAGGGAATCTGAGGGTATGTCTACACTACCCTCCTAGTTCGAACTAGGAGGGTAATGTAGGCATACCGCACTTGCAAATGAAGCCCGGGATTTGAATTTCCTGGGCTTCATTTGCATAAGTTGCAAATGAAGCCCGGGAAATTCAAATCCCGGGCTTCATTTGCAAGTGCGGTATGCCTACATTACCCCGCTAGTTCCAACTAGCGGGGTAGTGTAGACATACCCTGATTTACTTTTTTACTGTGTGTTGTGGGGGAAAGGGAGGGAGGAAATATTCTTGCTTACAGCCCCCAAATGGACAAGCTCTGCCAAAATTCAATTATCCTGTGGTAGTGGTTCTCAACTATTTTTATAGTAGAACTCCTTCTAATCAAGCTAGGATTTAGTCATGATTAGTTAGCCTCATCAAATTAGCACTCTGGGAAGCTCCAGGGTATTGACATATGCTTATGATCCCTCCAAAGGGGTTATGAGTTGAAGGCTGAGACATCATGCTTTAAAAGATAGGGACAGAGATAACGAGTCAAAGAATTAGGAGGAGGTTGGTTGCCTTTATTACCTTGCCTCTGTGGCACAATGTGACATCAGCACAAGAATGCAAATGCCCTTGCATCACTGACATATCATGGCACAATGTATGAACATTTTGAAGTGGTTTGACACAATATGCCAGCCCCTGGTTATGTTTCAGCATCAGTCATGACTGTAGGCCTGTCATCCATGTGATGGCATAAGAACCTGCTTTTTTCAGATGTATCAAACCACAAACACAACTGCGTACTTAGCTTAGATTCTCCATCCATAATCCCATCTGCCCCCACTGCTATCAAACTGTGTTAGTGATTGAATGTCTTGTCCCTCTTCCCCAGCAACACTCCTCCTCCCTCAAGTGCTGTTCCTGCTCCACACACTGTGCTGCAAGCCTCTCCTTGTGCTCTGCAATCTGTTGGTGCCTTTCCATCTGCCGGGGATTCTTTCCCCTTTGGCAGCGCTGCCACTTGTTGGTCCCATCCGGGATGTCCACCATAAGCTCTTCATGGAAATGCTTCCTCTCTCCCCACTTGTGACCATTTGAAATTCCAGGCGCCTGCTGGAGTGTGGCTGGGTGGTAGAGGTGGAAGGGCCTGAAAGCAGCCACCACACACAGCGCACTGTTATCTCAGTACTTCTGAAAAGATTCAGAGTATCCACAGAAAAAGTGTGGCGTGTATCAAGGCCACAATTAATCGCACCGTAAAACTCAGCTCCAAAACATTCTCTGTGTCTATGCATAATCATCATCAAAGCCCATAGAGTGGGATGGGAGAATGAGAGATTCCCACAGCTTATTGGAGGAGAGGTCATAAGGAAATGGGAAACTGCGGATGGATGAGGATTCGTGAAGCTCGCTGAGTGGGGCCCAGCATGTGCTACTTTGCAAGAGGTCTTCAAAACCCTGGGGTCATCCCTCTTCAGGGTTGTGCAAGTTGCTTTTTACAGGCTGTGAGGGAGTCTCCCTCCTCAAACCAGGACTGCTTCTCAAAACTAGCTCATATGGAAGTGCTAAATGGAAATAGGACATATAGCCTCTCACACCACAGGCACTCATTGAAATCCAGCCAGTCAGCAGGGTCTGGAATTTGCTATCTTCTGCTTCTGTTCTGTGACATGTAATATGAGCTGGTGGGTCTCAGTCTAGTCACAGTGCATTTATGGGACATGGGACCATGCCATCTTCAACTTTGGCCAGTATTTTGGCCTTTGTTGGCTGTCTCAGAAAACAAGGCTGGGAACAGCAGTCTCTTGTTTGGTGGGGAGCAGCTGGCAAGCCAGGCTTGGTTGCGTGGCTGTCAGGCACCTTTCCCAAGCAATATATTAATTTACAGTATCTATGAAAAAGGATTAGAGCGGGATGGGCAGCAGTATGGTTTTAGAGGCTAGGGCAGGGTGGGAGAAGAAGGGGTTGGGCAGCTGTGTTATCTGTGGTGCCAGATGGGTTTTGAACCAGGGAGGCATCTCAGTTCTGCCTTTATCAGAACCCTGCATTCCTTTCAGTGAGCATTCAGCCTTTGGCTGGAGATAGGTTGTTTCACTCAACCTCATCTTGCCATTTAAAGCAACAGAAGAAGATGTCTTGGATGCCTCAACAGTCTGAGTCTCCTCTTCTTTTGGACTATTAATGGGATTTAAACAAGGCCTGACATAAGGAATCTTCATGAGACAGAAGGAAAAGAAAGAAGATGATAGGAAATCTCAGCATTAAGTGACCTGATACAGGACAGGTGAACACATACCGACTGGAACTGGGGTGGAGGAGAAACTGTCCTTTAAAGGACCCAGATCATTTATTTTGGACACCGTTTTTACCAAATTTATTTCAAACGAGGAACTACTATGACTGATTTGTCCTCACCTTGGCTCTAAGTTAGTAGCCTTCAAACTACAGCTGAAGTCCGATGAATGATCCCAGCTCCGGGAAAGGAAAAGAAAGAATATTGGCTCTTATCTGAGTGTCAATTTCACATTGCAGATTTGCTGGAATTCAATTTATGACATTAAAAGAGAAAAGAAGAAACTGAGAGAATCCCCCTCTTCTGGTTCTGTAGGAGTTCAATGTCCTATAGCAGCTCTCCTGTGGATTCTGGGATGACAATTCATCTACTGGTCTGCCTGCTGGTGCTGATCTTCCCCCTGCTGGGGCTGAAAAAAGGAGAAAAGGTTGTGTTTTCTTTGAAGTTGTAAAGTTACTCAGGCTATGTGTAGACTATGGAGTTTTTCTGGGATATCAGAGGTATCCCTGAAAAACTCCGCCACGTCTAGGGAACGCGTCTGCTCTTCTGACATTTTTTGCAGAAGAGCAGAAGTGCTCCTTCAGAAGCCCTGTCTTCCTCATTTCACAAGGAAGAAGGGCTCTTCCAAAAGAGGAGGTTTTCCGAAATGTGGCCCAGTGTAGATGGGCCAAATTAAAGAAAAGCCTTTTCCGAAAAAACAATTGGAAAAAGGTATGCAAATTGCAGAGTGCAATTTGTGTACCATTTCCGATAAAAAGCTGCAGTCTAGATGTAGCCTCAGAGAAAATGGCTGATCTAAAGACCACTAAGGATGATGAGTGTATTTCCATTCTCTTCTGTGGGCTTTGAATCAAGTATAATGTAGGAACTACTTTGCTTTGACTTGATCTGTTCCATTTCTCACTTTCTCTAACCCTGCTGAGAAATGCCCTCCATTTTCAAGTCTCATGTTTTCCAGGGGATGTTTGTGGTTGAGCCTAAGGAAATGCCCCAATCAATACAGTCTTTCTTAGATGGTACAGGTATGTTTTTGTTAATTTTTCTATCCCATGGGACTGTATCTGGGATTCTTCCCAAAAATATTTCAGATACTGTGGGTAGAGAAGTTGTGTCTGAAAACTGTGAAGTCCACGCTACTAATTCCATGGGCCTGGTCAGTGCCTTCATTTAGGTGCCCTTTTTCAAGTGAGAAGTGAGAATGAATATTCATGGTGAATTCAGTCTCTGCTTATATTCAGTCAAATATTAAATAACTGGATATAATGTTTAGTCAAAGCCCACTTAAAACTCCAACAGTGAAAAAAGTGATCAATGATATCATCACATGCATTATGTCCCCTGCTTTTGACATTTGCATTTTCACATCAAAAGCTATGAATGGGACACATCCAGACTACTTAATTAGCTTCATTAACGCTGGTGCTACACTTGACAGGTACCTGCTTTTTCTGTTATATATATCTTGCATTCTGTTATGCCTAATGAACTCCAACTTGCCTAATGAAATGGGTTTAGCCACAAAAGCTCATGATTCCATATATTTTTGTTGGTCTCTCATCTGCCACAGGACTATTTGTTTTTTTTTAAAGTTACAGACTAACACAGCTACTCCTCTGAGACTTTTTGCATTATGATATTTGTTCATGGAAGGTTTTCAGAAAAAGAATTGATATCAATAGTTAATCAGCAGCACAAACTCACAAACTGAACACACTAGATATTATTTTCCTGTTATGGGGCCCAGCTATATTGTATTTAGAATATTATATATCAGAGATCTGGCCACACACAAGACCCCATTATGCTGGACACTGTATGAACATAGAACAAAAATTCACTCCATGGGCTGAAGAGTTTACAATCTAAGATAAGAGACCACAGATAGATACAGACAGGGGAGTAAATAGAAACAATGAGACAGTAGTGATCAGCATCATAGGCAGTGATCTGAGCATACCAGCAACCTAACCATTGTCAAGTGTTCACTTGCATTCGTCCAGCTGGCTCCACTAGAATGAATGATATGAGTATAGGCTATTTATGAGATTTAGGATTATTTTTATCCCAAATTATGTAAAAAAAGCCCTTCAGATAAAACATCTACTTCAATTCAACAGGTTAAAAATTGATTTTTTATGCCATGAAAAATCATGTCATTTTGATTTTTTTGTCCTGAATCAGGACAAAAAGCCAAAAATCCATACTTTTTTATCTTATAAAATTCCAAAACAAAAATAAATTTGTTTCAGTTCTGTCAAAGGATTTTGTTTCAATTTTATCCCTTTTTAACTTTTAAAATACAAAATAAAGTAAATTTTGAAATGAAAAATGAAATCATAACATTCTGAAAATGTCAAAATATTCCAAATTGTCATTTTCAAAACTTTTTTTTTCATTTTTTCCCATCGGTAACATTTCATTGGAATCAATATGATTTTATGAAAAAAATTCAGATTTGTTGAGAGGATGTTTTCCAATGCACAACTGTTTTGACAAAAAAATAATCCAATGAACTCTAAGCAGGACAATAGGAAGAAATTCAGCTCTCAAGTGCGCTCCCACAGCATTACACAATTTATATATTGCATTATAGGTTCCTTTATTTTCTACCAAAGCGCTGGCCAAGCGGAGTTAGATTACCTATGGTCTACCCAACTATCTCTGTCCACCCACCTTTCTTTCTTATGTGGTGCAGCAGGGAATATAAGGGAGTGGAGACACTGGAGATATAGTTACTTTCACCTGTCAGAGCTGAGATGAAGTGGTATGGGTCTCCAACAGCATATCTGTGCATTTGACCTGGTAGTGTGCAGAAAGCTTCATGAGTAATGTCTTCTCTGCACCTAGCATAGGAAACAAAATATCAGTGGCAACCTCAGATTCAAGGCACAATTTGGGGAGACGGTGGGTGCGCAACAGCTGTGCATACTGGGATGCTGCTTGCTTTTCTTCACATTCCCCTCTCTATCAGGAGGAAGGAGAAAGTACACGGATTTCAGAATTACTCCTCTGTCCCCTCCTTTCACCAGCCAGGAGAGAGAGGCATGCAGAGAAGCTGTGTACTTTCTCCTTGCTCCCTGATAGTCAGGGGAATGAGAAGAAAAGCAAGCAGCATCCCAATATGCACAGCTGCTGTCCCCCTTCCCTCTTGAAATGGTGTCCTTGCTCAGATCCATAGCTCTGAGCTGACTAGTCCCTCACCTCAAGTCTGTGAGAGACTGTTTAGAGCCTAGGTGAGTGTTCTACCATATCCCAAATTTGAGTCCAGGTGAATGCTCCTTTCTCCAGCCCCATCAATGTGTCCTAAACTCTTCTCCTCTGGCTATTGCATGCATTCCCAGCCTACCTATGAATTTGCCTCAGTGAAATGATGGCAGTATCCTGGGCAATATTCTCTTACCGGGAAACTGGTGCAAATGTCTAAGGTTGCATATATGCTGTTGACAAGCTCAAAATGGGTGCAATATTGGTCTGTACTCATTGTGTTGAGAAATTTTAATGTTGCATCATGCACTCTGTGATCTCTGTAGCAGGACAAAAACAGTAGGGAACTCTGCTGTACAAATACACACATACTAACGGTCACATTCTTGAGGATAAATGGGTATTACCTTTATGTTGCAGGCCACATCCCACATTGTCATGGATATGGCACCAGATTCCTTTGATGACCAGTACCAGGGTTGCCGTGAGCAGGTCAGGGAGGAACTGGATCGAGGAGACTACTTTCAGAAGGAATTGGGTAGTAACAAGAACTATTCCAGCATCTGGGAGAAAGCAAAGCTGGTCTGGTCAAAAAACCCAAGAGCTCTGCTAAGGGAGATGCAGGAGAATCACGCTGTAGCCCTCACGGCTTACACCATGAACACCTCGCTGCACTCTGATTTAAACTGGGCTGTGTCCAGAGCTGGGAGATCCCCAGAGCACTACAATCATAGCTTCCCCTTCAAATACCTCCACTTTTACTTGACAACAGCCGTTCAACTGGTGAGGAGATGGAAAAGTGGCACCTCTAGAAGAAAGTGCTACCGGGTGCACCGGGGGGTAAAAGGCCTGTATTTTGAGGCGGAGATAGGCACTAAAGTGCGGTTTGGCCGCTTCACTTCCACTTCACTCCTCCGGAAGGAAGCCCAGAGATTTGGGAACGAAACAATATTCACCCTGATGACTTGCTCAGGGGCGCTTGTGCAAGACTTCTCCCACTACTTCTCTGAGAGGGAGGTCCTCATCCCACCCTATGAGATATTCCAGGTCAGAAACTTCAGCCAAACACCAAGTGGTAACCAGCTCTATCTGCGATCTGTGGGAAATTACAGCCAGTACAATTGCCAGCTCCTGAAAGGTACGGTATGTAGAAACTCTCATAGTGGAGATCCAGGAGGGTCTTGCGCTGCACCTTGAGAGCTCACCCTGCTGTACCACATTTCATATTTCAGGCCTAGTATCTCCCTTGGGGGCAGAAGAAGCCAGGAATGTGCTCTTGCTGAGCGTGCACTGTGTTTTCTGGCTGCTGTGAAAGGTGGTGGAAGCAAGCAGACTTTTTTTTTGCACGTGTGTACAGGTTAAAAGTTCTTCCAGAAGCTGCTTGTAAAGGAACCTGGGTCTAACCAGATGTCCTTCCTCCATGCTTCCATTACTCCCACCTAGATTCCCTTAGACAAATCCTAGCATGATGCTGGAGTTGCAAGACATGCAGAGCCATCTGTAATGGGATTCCAAATGTGCTTACAGTGGTGCAGATTAAATAGTGTGAGCAAAAGTGAAAGGTTTTGTTTTGGGGTGTCTGTAAGAATTACATCCCGGACAGCATTAATTGACAATCAGCCAGAAACCTTGGTTTCGCAGGGGAACTGTCTTGTGGCTCACAGCAGGAAAACAAGATGGCCACTGGCAAAAAGCCCCAAAGGCCTTTCTTAAAGGGGCCATGCTGGTTTTTTTTTTAATTGGTTTTTTTGTTTAATAACGGTGGGGGTCCTTTTTTTTTGCTCAACAACTTTGGTGTCCCTCTTTTTCTCCTCAACAGATTTTTTCCCCTGGTGTGTTTTTTTTTTGGAGGGGGGAGGGGGTTGGTGTTTGGTATTTTTGGTTAAACCATCTGGGAACCCGAAAGCACACTGATTCTATTCACACGGTTGATGCACAGTAGCAAGTTGTTGCTCCAGTGTAGATATCAGTCAATAAGAACGGTGCTAAACATTCCTTCCTAACTCCTTTCACAGCATTGATAGAAGACACACACACACACACACAGAGGCAACAATTTGCAGAGAATGACCTTTCCATAGTTCAAGTTGCAATCAATTTCCATTCTAAACATCTATTTTGACACTCTTGTAAGTCTGGTTTGAAAAATGAGTTGAGCCTGAAAATACATGCATATATATTTTGTTGCAGAAAGCACTGAGCCCAGATGTTCTTCCATAATGTCAATGGTAATATTTGCCATTATCTTTAATTCTAGGCACTGTGTGTGTATGTTTCTTTCAATAATTGGCATGTAAAACCCATCTTGTTTAGCTGCCATGATACAGGCCTAGGGTTTTTGGAGGTATAGGACCGGAATTTTAGCCCCAGCTCAGCAGGTGCATGTAGTGTGGAATGGAGAGATGAAAGTAAAGTTGCATTCACCATGGCATTGTAAGTTTGATTTTGATTCCCATTGAAATGTCAACACAAACAAAAATCTTTCACTCTTTTAAGGCTAAATCTTATTGTCAGTTAGAATGTATTAGGGAAATGATGACTGAGATTTGTTTTACTTTAATATGGCTCTGGAACAAGGTGGTAGGATTTTTGTTAAACATATTAAAACTAATGATGTAACCATATTGCTTAACCAGTTAACCAATAAAGGAGGTGAGTGGGGGAGGGGACTGATCTAGCCTGGCTGGAGCAGCCCTGCCTCACGCTGGAGGCAGGGGCTACTTACTCTAGCTGGGCTGGAGCAAACTTCTGCCTGTGGTAGGTAGGGAGTTGCTCAAACCCCCACTGGTTAACTGGTTAAATCGTCACGTCCCTAGATAGAACCCTGCATACATCTGCTGAGTAAATTCTATTTAATCATTGTGGCAAGTGAGGATTAACTCCATCTGGGTACAAACCAGGTGGCAGAGATTCTCTGGGCAGGACTGGGGTCTTGCTCAGAAAGGTATCGGCAGGGAAACCTTAGAAACAGCCCATTCTGAGCTGAGGTTTATGTTGTGCTATTATTCCAACTACCAATACAGTCAAACCTCAGGAAGAAATATGTTTGGACTATATGTATTGAATTCTGGGCAAATACTTGGGTTTGTTGTTGTTGTGGCTGTTTGGTTTTCATAATCTGAACCTGTTCACCTGAATGAGTGTTTTTATTCATTTAAAATACTTTATGAGGAAATTATTGTTCTAGGGAGGAGACATGTTACCATGTGCATCAAAGCTGTGGGCTGAATTTCTAAAGGACACCTCTTTTGATTCTTTTGCAGCTTCAAGCAGCAAGAACTACATCCACAATCCTCCTATTGCTGCCTTTCTTTCTTGTGTGATCTGTGCTTTCTTCTACTCTACCAGACA